GCGGTGTCACTGGTGGTAGTTAGTGGTCCTCCTTCGAGAGCCAAGCGCGGCCCCGGATATCTCAGCTGCTGTTGTCCACCGTTGAACGGCATTGCATAATTGTTAGTGTTATTTTCAAGCTCTGGTTTCTCGGGTTGAACCTGTTCTTGCTCTTCACCAGTGTCCACATTCTGCAATTAATTTTATAGCTGATCTCATGATTTCGAAACACCAGAAACTCACATCAAACAGATTGAAATCCCAATGGTTTCCAAGTAGGTCGCGACAGTTATCAATGCTCAAATCGATTCCATTTAGAAAATCTTGAAAATCCTAAAACCAAATCCTTCACCGATATTCGCTATTGTTCAAGATGGCGGTGTGTTAGCAGGGATCGCAAGTGCACATACATGCTCAGAAGTATTTAGCCACATTTGTTTAATAAAACATTAGGAACGATGAAAATTATAATATGGGAAAAATTGTCAATTTAAAACTTAGTTCAGAAGGTTTTTGAAATCGATCAGAAGAATTTCATTTGCAAAAAAAGTTTGAATGGCTTAGATAGGGTATGAATCGAAATTAGACAATAATGCTTTTTATATGAAAAGGGGCACATAAGACCAGATGGAAAAACTGAGGGTACGTGCTGACTGGTTGTTATTCAGTCTTATTCGTCTAGATAAAGTGCATAACTACGTCCATGAAGAAACTTAAAAGGTCGAAAATTTATCAATGAGGTATTGCATATTCTGTTATGAAATGCACAAATTTGTCCAATGATTAGGATCTGCAAGCAGATTTTGATGATATGATTGTTCTTGAATCTATCTCGTAAGAAGCTTTCCAAACATTCAAAAGAAGTTCTACCGAACTTGTAAAAAACATGCAAACCGATAGGGAATTTTGTCTTAGCTTCGGCGACAAGAAAAGAAATGAAAAGAAAATCAAGAAAGAAGCTAATCATATACAAAATTCCTGAGTCATTTGTAAATAGAAAAGAAGTAAAAGCACTACACTCACTGAATAACAAAGAATTTGAAGGAAAAATACGTGAAATGCTCGTAAATGAACACACGCTTTGCTCGAAAGTAGTAGTTTGAAGATTTCGTACGAGACAAGCATTGAAAGGGATAGATCAAACAACTGCAAGGTGAGCTCTACACCACCACCCACATAATTAACAATGGGCTGCGGCAAAACCAACCTGTGAGAATTGCCTCTCTAGTTGGGGTGACATTGTAATCGCTGACGAGTACGATGTATCGGATGTCTCAAAAATAAATGATAATATCAAGATTGTAAATGATTATTTGGAATTTCTGAAACTGTCATAATATTGGTATATTGCAATAAAAAATAAAGACTATAATAAGCTAAAATGACTATAAACGCTTGTGAAGCCTCTACAGGGGTAAAATATTAACGGTAAGTAAGCACATGCATGCACATAAAAAGCACAGAACCGCCACACAATCAAAGTGACATGTATACAGTTTTGATTCAAAGCTCCAAAAACCTCAGCTTCAAAGTTATATCCCGCCCTTAGGCTGCCCCAGACTAGCCCTCAATGAGGACCGTTCCAGAGAAAGTGCAAGGATTACTTATTGCCAATATCGATTTCTCGCTGATACTAAGAAAAGCATAAAGCAAAAGAACAATTTGCATATGAAACAAGGGGCATAATCTTTGTGTGCTGATACAAGTAGCAGACTAATGTTTTCAGCTCCGTCAACACATGCAAGCGGTAAACCTTCGCACCGAATCAAAGGTTCAGCTAATAGCCAAACAGTGAAAGTAAGACTCTAAAAAAATTAATCGAAAAATGAAAAAAATCACTCCAATAACTGTTCGGCTATTAGAAGCTCACCCAGCAACCAAATTCGCATCTAGCATTCCTCATTCAAGAAAAGGGATTACCAACCTGCTGCTGATTGGGTGTAACGGGAGCCGCTACGTTGCCATTCTGTTGCCTTCTAGGTGACGCCACTCCGATCGCTGGTCCGTTGGGGGACGGTGTCGATGGTTGTGGAGCAGTTGGCGATGAATATGATACATTGTATCTTCAAATTGACAATACGCTTTTGTAGGGGAATGTCGAAGTTTTGCTGCATTCACATTACTCACCCGTTATTACCATACTGCTGTTTATTCTTTTGTCCCATTTGGTTTTGAGGACTACCAGAGGAGGATGCTCCAGGAACCCATTCGTCAGTCACATCCGCTATGATTGGTCCATCACCACGACTGGCTGCTGCTGCTACACCACGAATTCCACCTATATCCTGCATTTCCCTCTGGAGACGATCAAGGATCTAAATTGCACAATT